ATTAAACTGTTTTTATCTCAACCCACGAGTTTTTTCTCACTTTTACTCTTCCAATGCTCTCCCCCATCCCAGGGGGAGGGGTGGGGGGGAGTGAGCGAGCAGCTGTGTGGTGCTCAGTTGCCAGCCGAGGTTAATCCACGACACTGATCTGTTTTCTTTGTCTTGCCATAACTTTTTATTTAATTATATTGTCTTTGACCTATGTTTAGAAGTCTAAAGTGTTACAGTGTACATTACATTATCTTTGAAATAATACCTGGTGTTTGTATAGGCTTTGTAGGAAAGGTGCAGTTTTCATATTACTAGAATGTGCTGGCTGTTCAACTGTACTGAGAGCTTCCTGTCTAACTTACTTCCCTCTTTCTTAAGCTGATCAAAACTCTTCTGATACACTTGAACAGTTCCACGTGCATAGTAATGAGTACTTTTAGCACTATAATTTTAGATCTTGTGTGCACTGAAGTTACGACTAGATAGTGAAAACTGACTCAGAGGAGGTGGAGAACATATTTATTTTCTACTGCTGCCCCCTCCCCCCTTTTTTTTTTAAATGAAGAAAATACTTTTCTTTTTTTTTTTCCCTACCACTGCTCCCTCCAACACACACTTGCATTTTGGTAACACCACACTGTCCAGTGCCTGACATTGGCCAAAATAAGCTGTCTTGTACAAAGATCCCTCGAATACAGCTGAACAGTTGGAGAGAACTGAGACTGTCTCATTGGAAAGGGATAACGTATGATATTGAAAGTTGTTCCAGTTTTATTTATTGAGTTCTCAAGGTTACTATGGGCTGAAAAAAAAATGTTTTGTTGTTATGGAAAGTGTACTTTGTGAGGAATGTCTAAATCTATATACCTACATGGATCAGGTTTGGGCAGATTTCCATACATGTCCATGTCTCCAAACGGTGCTTCTACCTAGTCATTTCAGGTGGATGATGACTATAAGTTGAAACCGTATTGTGTCTGTCTGTCACCAAGTTAATGAGCTATCATGTTTCTGATAGACTTACACGTAGACTTACATGCTGTGATTTTGTATATTCATTGGCCATCTCAGCAGGAGGTGAGGGGCAAAAGAGCGGAGGAACTGTAAGTCTCTGACTTAGTAGCAAAGGTCGGACATCTAAATTATAGCTGACTGGGTGAGTGGAGCTGGGAAACATGCTGAGCTACGGTAGCTCTTTGGCTCTTCTGAGCACTTTAGTTACCAGTTCTGTACTTTACCCCTGCTACTTTTTAACTTGTGGTGAAATATTTAGCTCATAGAGGGAGGAAAAGATATTTTAATACTCAACTTATGAAAATATAAAGCCTAATCTTTCTGTGCCAAGGTGACTTTATCAATCATCATTTGATCACTTTTGAGAAAATATTACTGAAATATATTTGCCATGAAAAGTACACCACCACCCACCACTATTTATTTACAGATTTTGTTTTGCTTCTGTTTCTTTGAATTAGAGCTGTAAACAGTGCTCTTTCAGAGTAAATGCTCCATTTGAGCAATGTGATTGTTGAACAGATGGTTGTGTGGATGTAAACAGTTCTTGAACTTCATGTTTAGTGTTCTAAGTATCTGCATTACATAGTGTCCAGTACATGTTAGTATATCATTAACCTCACTTTTAGCGCTACAGGGACTTTGTTTTTAAAAGGAATACTGCAACAGTGCTTCCTGCAAAAGTATGTTTCACATACTTTTGCTTTTGGTAATGCCCTTATAACAGAGGTTTACAACTGGGACATAGATATTAGTTAGATTGTGTGGAACAGCTACCAAATAAGCTAACAGCACTACTGTAGCGAGCCATGTGCTGGAGAATGTCGTGTTAGTACAGTTTTGAAGAAATCACACAACACTTGTTGGACGTGCTTGTGCCGCAAGTCTAACCTGGCTCCTACCCGTATTACCATACTGTAGTATTAGCAGCGGTGATAGGTGCTTGGGTTAGTTTCAGTAGTAGTGAATGGTTTAGGTCCCAGGCTTGCCCTGTCTGAGGCTTTCATCCAAGTGAAGGCTTTGCCGTGGCAGTGTAGGCAAATTCACTTGCCTGCCGATCGTCCCCCAGATATCCTTCCTGTAGCGGTACATGGAAGAAATAGCACATTCTCCCATAACTGATTAGGAGAGAATTCTTAAGCGTCTCAGCACAGGAATTACTATGTGAGCTCTGTCAGGCAAATGCAAAAGTTTGAAAAAGTAGGTACAAATATGATATACCAAACATATAATTTAGACTTCAGTATTTCAATAGCATTCAATATTTTATCATTTGGCCCGTAGGCTCAAGCCTGGGTGCTAGTTGCCTAGATTAACCAGAGTCAGTCTCAACCTTCATAGAAAACACAGGGACAGAAAGTGCTGCAAAGATTTATCTAGTCCGCTCCTCTGCCCCAAGGTGAGATCTCTGTATCTATGTACCTGATAGAAGTTTGTCTAACTTGTTCTCAAAGACCTCTAAGGATGGAGATCTCTAAGATCTCTGCAACTTCACCAGACAACTGTTCTACTGATTTCATAAACCTTATAATTAGAATGTCTTTTTAACATCCCATCTAAAGCTTCCTTGCTACAAATTAAACCTGTTGCTAATTGTCCTCTGACAAGTCCTCCTGTATACTGTGAACATGGAGAAGAGATTATTCTGTAGCCCTGCTTTCTCACATGAATTTAATTTCAAGGTAACATAAAGATGGCTGTATTTAAACGGTAGGCAAGGTATTAAAATTTGATGGCAAGGACTGCAATTATGTGATAAGATGGAGCCAGATTCTTTTTGGAGTTGCAACAAATAGGACAAGAGGCAACGGATGCAAGTTGGAACATGGGAAATTCCAGTCACCTATAAGAATTTTTTTTTTCTTCCCCCCCTTTTTTGTTTTCTTTTTTCCCATTTACCGTAAGAATAG